ATTTACGATCTGGCGACCAAAATTTTTCCGTTAGTCGCCAGCTGGCTCCCGAACGAAAAAGTTAATTTCGAGCCCAGTGTTCAGGCCTGATTTTTTTTTTTTTTCCAGGCTTTAATTTCACAACATTTACTGCTTAAGTAGTGTGCATAACTGCAATGATCAATCATATCTTCATATCTTTCTCTGCAGTTCAAATATATGATCTTTCATATATTCATTTACATAAATACGTTTTGTTTTTCTTGTAGGGAGCAACCAAGCAGATTGATAGATGATGATCCATTAAGAATTCCTCCCCGTAGACCTCCAGACTTTCATGGGGAATGGTAAAAAAAGACTACAAATAATATAATTATATAATTTATAACCACATGTACATGAATAATAAATATAGAACTTTTGACCATTCTTTTGTTAGTCTTATCCCTTTCACCCATCTACCTATTAATTAATATCCATAATTTTAACATGATGTCTGTTGCACATCCTTTTATGTTATAAATTTAGATACATGTAACTTGTCTGAAATCTATTGTCAGATATACAATGTGTACCAGATTTTCCTTTGAAGGACAAACACTGAACTGCAAAATTTGCACGTATACTTATAGGGAGTTAATTGCCGAGTTAGATGTGTGAGACTATCCATGAATGCAGACCTACAGTATTTGAACTTTGGTCTACAAATTAATGTAATCTATTTATCTGCTCAGGGCTCCACCTGTTGGACCATTTGGATATGGCGATGGAGATAGATTACCTGGGCACCCTGGGTAAGTTGAGAAAATGCCTTTATTTTTATTACTTTATTCGTTTATTTATCATTATTTTTTGATACACATTTACATCTATTAGATCTGAGGGTGTAAGTTTCACATATAAAATCAATTGTTAAGTTAATATAGTTAATTATTTTTACTTATTATTTTTTGAATTATTATTTTTTCACTGATTATTTGAAGTGGTTTTAATATGTTAAGTCTTGAATGCTTAAGGGTTCAGAGTTGTCAGAATGCTGATAATGTTCTAGTGTCAGTGGTGTCAGTGAATGATATTGCATGAAGCAGAAATAAGGTGAAGGAAAATGTTATTAAATAATACTGAACTGAGAGTATTTTTTTTTTGTATTCAACAGCACACATAGTCGTTTAACTCTGTTGTTTGTTGATTTTGTTTTCAGTACTAGAGGTGGAATGTTAATGGACCCATTTCGTCCAGGAGGCATGGGCTCCACAGGGGGTCAGGGGTTTGGTCCACCACCCCACCCTGGACAGTTGCCAAGGTTTGTTATCAGTGGGGACTTCCTTAGTTTTAGTAGTAACTACATTTCCTTATAAATGTAAAATGTATATCCATATGGGTAAATAAAACTGTAGTCTGCGTGAAATAATTTAGCCTGCTAACAGGCTCCCGGCAAGGATGATAAAAAATTTCAGCGAGCGTGAAACAGAAGAATTCGGAGAGCAAAGTGATCGGGGCAGGGACAGGGGAGCCTGTAGACCTTGTTTTTGATGTGCCTATCCGCCCTTGGTGATAAGCCTGTAACAAATCAGTCAATGAGGTAATTACACC